CTGCAAATTTCATTAAAATTTAATAAACTATCATCTTGTCTTTATTTTTAGTTAGCACATACCTTAAACACTTAAAGCTGTAAGCTAATGATAGTTATAGATAGATATAGATGCATGCTGGTGCAATAAGCTGTACGTTTTACGTCCAATGGATGCATGATCTGATTAGTCGATTAATCGCAAAAATAATTGGTGACTAGTCGACTGTCAAAATAATCGTTTGTGGCAGCCCTAATATGTTATATGTTTCAAATTGCAGTATCAAAATGATGTGACAATGTGAAAGTGGTAATTTGCAGTGACAGATCTGCGGTGAATAGTCGCCTGAATCTGCGGCTCACCCTCATTTTCTACACCTTATAAAGAATTTCTAGTCACTGTTTAGCTGACCAACCCACAGTTGTACCACTTTGGTTCTCTCTGACAGCTTACAGTGTTTTCTTAAACTGCAACAGGGAAAGGTCACAATGAAAAATGCTCTAGTAAACCCACTCTATAGCCTTCTACTACTCACTTCCAAACTTACACACACACAGTTACGATTGACTTAAAGAGTCTGTGTCAATGTGGAGAGAACCCGCTGTCGCTGCACCTTCTGTGAAGAGCTAGTGTTGAGCTGTAGTGTTGTAGCGTAACAATAATATCTAGTTTATAAGGTTGTTTTAAAAGACAGCAACTCTTGTTTCATATAAAAGATTTAAAGTTCAAAACCAGTGACAAACAGGGACAGAGAAATTCATACATTTTTGACATAGACAGAAAATATAATTAACTAGCCATGATCCAACAGCCCTATTATTACAACAGCTCTTGGCGGCCTATGTAAGGTGGATGCGAACCATCTGCTGAAGGGACAGACATTTCTCCCTACATGGATGTTTGGCCAGCATGCACAAAACCATTTTACATATAAATATACCTGCATGAATATGCATAGTCCATATTTGTGTACAGGATGATTTAGGTATGCTGTCAGCAAACACTGCTACCCATACCCGAAAGCGTGCAGAAGGACATGCAGTCAGTCTCACAAAGACACCCACATATCTGTCTTGGGGAGATCAAGGACTAAAGATGAAATGAGGTAAAATCTATTGAAGTCAGGCCTTGTGCCAGCCAGTAAATAGTACCAGCCGGTAAGTGCGAGAGATTTCCAGCCAGGGTTCATCCAAGTTGAGTGCCAAGTGGTAAGGGAATAGCAGTGGCACGCGCAGTTCCATTTTAAACATAGTGATTTTTATCTGGAGATTGAATCTGGCTGCAGCATCTCCCCCAGCGGCAGTGTACTCGTCCAGAATAATGGATATAGTTTCATGGAAGCCCAAAAAAAAACGCACCATGCTCAATTACTCAAGCCCTCTTTATGTGATATGACGGCATCAGACACCGCTCTCTACAAGGTGTCCATGTTTCAGATGATATATTTTAATTTCCTCGTCCAGATGTGATTGACCTCGCTCATCGTGCGGCTGTTGTATTTCTTTTGATTTTACACGTACAAAGCTGCTGAATGAGGGTTTTGCTGGTGAGTCTCTACAACGTCCTGTTGTGATTTAATTAGCCCCGCCTGAATGGATGCATAATGTTGGGGCAGACTTTGTTGAATTTTTATGTAGAGCAGTTGACTTGAATAAATAGATGTTTTTGTTTTATAAAAGGAGTTTAACTTGCAGCGCGTAGACAGAGCTTCAAAAAAAAAATGCTAACCCTAACCCTTGTGTCAGATCTTTTTCAACTGTGTGTGGACTCCTATGTCCCCATTAGATTGTGCAAATGACCGACTGCCTATTACAGGTTGAAGTAGAAGGGATAATGAAGTTAAACAGATGAGCATAATTGTCCCCTGGCTTGTTTCCTGCACGAGTGACAGAATTGCAGCTTAATCTCAAACACATACTTAATCACTTCTGATTGTAGAAAATCCTCATATTGCATAAGCTCACAGATTGCCATGATTCATGCTCGGCATGCCCACGCTATGGAATTTACTGTTGGCTTTTTCGAAGGTGTCAACAAGTAAACAGTGTCGTGCAGAGTTTGTTTTTAAACAGTGGATTCTTGTTTTGCAATAGCCTCCCAAGACCAATTAAAGTGTCTCAGTCTGGGAGTGTGAAGCAAAGCCAGGCCAGAGTGCATCTCTGGAGCAAAATGAGCTGCTCTTGAGGTTTCGCTACATTTAAAAGTTTACTTAACTTTCCACAATGAAATCTGAAATTACTGCCAGTTTATCTAATGGTGTGTTTCTATTACTTTAACGCTTTTGTCTTTTTTATTCATTTATAACTTTTACTCTTTTGGCCAAAAACACATCTGTGAGAATGGGAACACAAATATTCCAGTCCTTTCTATCAGATTTAGCTATGGGAGGTGTGGTGAAAGATTGAGGATAGTCGTGTGGTAGATGAAGGTTGACTGTCAAATTGAGCATTTATTCCATGAAAAGAACAAGTAACAGGCAGTCCAGAAATGGTAAACATAATCCACAAGGCACAAGAAAGCACAGGGAAAAACAATAGGGACAGCACGGCTGGTAGGACGATTTGACAAATATCCAGGGGAGACAGGGACAATGAAAGCACAAGGTAATGAAGAAAGAGGAAACGGGAGGGGAACACAGCTGAAACTAATCTCAGAAAACCAGACAGGGCAAGCATATAAATACCAACCACAGTAGCTATGTGTTACCAAAATAAAACAGGAAGTAGCCAAACACTGGGACTTGGCACCAAAAGGCAGAACACAAGGGAATAATATATAGAACTAGGGAGCAAGAAGACAGCAAGGGAAAAAAGATACATGAATATAAACCCAAAGAAAACCAAGAATCAAAGATTTACTTAAGGAAAACTAAAAAGTCCCCAAAAAAAAACAAAATCACTGGGTAAAAGCCCCAGGACCGACCCAGGACCATAACAAATTATATGGATTAGCAGCTTTGCAGCTTGACTAATATATTTAGCGAGCAGAGATATCACTCAGTGTGACTATTGTATGCAGCATTAACGTGTCACATCAAGATGGATGAAAAATAGAGAATTCTGAAACTTGACAAAAGGTTGTTTCAACTGTGAAATGTATGCAACATTTAATGAAATGAATGTGTAATTTGTAAAAGTGCAAGAACCATTTAAGAATATGTTAAGCTATTATGTCACAGACATTACGCGATTAAAACATTTCCAATTATAAGCTCCTGTCACTTTCCTGCATATCAAACTGTGCAGTTTTATAGTGTAATATAATATATGGTCCCAACCTTTGTCTACCTACGCTAAGTCTAAAGCTTTCAGTCCTTTATTGCGGTCATATTTTCCAATCTCGCTTGACCAGTTGCATTTTCTCACAGGACCGAAATAAGTTGTGAAATTAGCCTTGTTCTCAAGGCGATGCTCTTCTTCTTGATGAATAACGAAGAAGAAGAAAAACAACCCACCGGAACACAACAAAGCTGACTGCACTTTGTTCATAAACTGGTTTCAATTTCTCTCAGGTGTTTGGCTCATCACTGAAGGGTTGGTAATAATAAAGATGTTGAGAAGAAATTATTTTCTGTGCAGTATAGGCAGCATGAAACAATCTCTGCTTAGTTATCGCACAGCACTTCAAACCTTCAAGGAGCTTTTGAGTGGTGCCAACAGGATATGACATTCTCACGGTGTTGCTATGGATGTTATGGGCATTGACCTTTATTTTTTTCATTTTTAGACAAAACAATTGCACAAACTCGTATCCTACTTTCGTGCATGTATAGGAGATGACTGATTTCCATACCAAGTAGTCTGCACATGATGTGCTTTAGCAGAAGCTATGCCTGTGGTAGCGAGTATATAAGTGTGATGACTCCGCTCTGTCACTGCTGAGAGATGCAGTACAGAATTCATTGTCTCTAATGTGTCACTCAGTATGAAAAGCAACAAAGCAGTCACTTTGGCACCGTTCTCCAAGTGTCTTTCAGATGGTAGATATCACCTGTAAAATGCTGATAACCTTGAACTTGTGACTGTACTTTCTTGATAGCTAATGTGATATTTTTTTCTCTTTCTCCATCAGCCACTTTAGTGTTTATTGCAAAGGGAGTCTATTGTTTTTTTCCCCTAGTTTTCCATGTCTCCTCTTGTCACTTTCATTGTATCTGCCATCGGCAGATGGATATCAAAAATAGTGATTATCATTGACCTGCACGGGGTAAACCCTTGTCCTTGACAAAAAGTATCAGTCTCTTCTTTGTGAGAACACTTTGAACTACTCTGCTGAATGTCCTCTTAGACTGACAGCTATGTTTATGGTCCCATGCTGCAGAGAAACACACAAATGGTTGGTAACCTTCAACATCAGAGGACTGATAAAGAAATTACTTTGTTGGTTGTATTAAACAAAACAGAAGGTCTGTGATTCTTTTCACTTACCATTTTCGTCATCTCTTTAGTCAGCTGGTTTGAATATACTGCTTAATTTTTAGACAAGGTATCCGACAGTAATGTTGAATACTCATACTTTGCAACTGGTGACAGCAGAACAATCGTTCCCAGGAGAGAAAACATAGAAATATACAGGAATAAAATATAAACCACTTTACACTTCTCCCTGATGATAAGGTGTCATAACACTTTATCACAACAGCACAATATCCTACAGGTTATTGCAGGTTTCTGTATTAGTCAGCAGAACTTTATTTCAATAGAAAGGGACCGCTTCTCATTGTAAGCCAGAATTCCTACATAGAATAGTCCCGGTTGAATACTGGGGCCACTGGCACTCGTCTCAAAACGGTACTTTTGGTGGTAGTTGTTGTTTGAGTTATAATAAGCTTTATCGCACTCCTTGACAATTTCAGCACATCATACTCAGAGCTTCAATTCATCCGAGCGCTCAGAGGGTTGATAAATAAATGACTGGAGGCATTGGTAGCAACAGGGCATGCTCAGAATAGCATTCACAATTGAAAGATTTGATTTGTATGGCCTGTGAGAGATTAAATTACACATCAGGGTTAAACTGTTTACTTCTGTGTAGCGCATGAGATAAGTGTATGCGGTCCATGCTGCGGTCCACTGAGTTTGATGATTAGCATGTCGTGTGTATAAGAATGGCATAAAATAAAGTAGATTTACATTATCATGGCTCACTGTGCTACGGGTGCCTCATCTTTCCTTTGTATCAATAGAATTTCATCAGCTGAAGGGATTTTTCCAGTTGCTCATTTAACATCCATCTATTAATGATCAGTTAGGAGTTTTAAAAGTGTGATAGCTGGATATTTTGCTGCTGTGACCCAATTTGGTCCACTTTTGATTTTTAGGTGTATACGTGACTTCAGTTAGCCCGAACTCAGTTTTTGCATATGCTTTCCTTTTTTCTAGTTCCTTGTGGTGGAGTCTTAACTGAACGCAAGGGTACTATCCTCTCTCCCGGATATCCAGATCCATATGCCAACTATTTGAACTGTGCCTGGAAAATCTCTGTTCCTGAGGGAGCCGGCATCCAGGTGAGAAGACACATGCAGATCTTAACAGAGTCATGTTTGATGAAAGATTAAGAGATTTTTTTTTTTTGAGGGGTGGATTTATTACTGATACATACAAGTTAGCCATTTCCCAACTCATGCTTTTTCCTTTGGAAATTTGTTAAGGTTTCATACTTATTAAACTTTTTGTATTACGTTATCTTTCCCTTTCAGATTCAGGTCGTGACCTTTGCCACAGAACACAACTGGGATTCGCTGGATTTTTTTGATGGCGTTGATGGTAACGCCCCAAGGCTTGGTAGCTACTCAGGTAAATGTTATACATCTAAATTTTAGGTGTCAGCTCCCACTTGATCTTCAATCAGGTGTCACAAGATCCCAGCAAGAGACAGATGCGGTGATCGAGCTGATGACATTTGAGAATGCTGTCAAAAAAACAGTAAAAAAGGAGAAAAAAAGAAACCCTTGCTCTGTCACAGTGTCCTGGCCTTTGCAGTTGAGAGCTTTATAATGTAACCCCTGTTTCACTTGGGAACTTTACATTCGTAGTGTTGCCTTCGGGTTTACATTATTAGAAATGGTGCGTTTGTCACTCAGTAACCTATAAGAAACAGGTCATCACGTCACTTCAGATGCTCAATTCTGGAATACGAGGGGCTGGTTTAACATAATGACTTCAGCCTTGATACGGAGGAAAAAGACACTCTCTGAAAAGTGAAACAGCCCCACAGTGCAGAACTAACTGCAGTGTGAAAAGGGTCAGGCGTTTTAAATGGCTAGCAATCATGTTTAGCTTTGGCTAAATTGATAAAGATGATTATAATTACAAGCCAAAGTCTCACCGCGAATTCCCAAAGACACGGGGAACAGAGAAAATGTTCCCTGAGCTCAGCATAGCTGCACATACAGATTATTTTGCAGTGAATTTGAATTGTAGACCATTCCTCTTCCTCGATGTGATTTTATGCATCTGACTTGTGTGACTAATGCGCTAGAGGAGATGTACTGAGCATGATTTTCTTAAACTGTGTAACAGAAAGCAGTGCAGAGTTAAATACTTTGCACACGTTCACATGCTTTTGGTAGGCTTAAATCCAGAAAGTGAAGTACACAGGCTCTTTTGTATATTTTATGATTCAGGTACAACAATTCCCCAACTGCTGAACAGCACATCCAACAACCTGTACCTGACCTTCCAGTCTGACATCAGTGTATCTGCCGCCGGCTTCCACTTGGAGTACACAGGTATGAGGAGAGACGGCTCGCCTGCCTGCCTGTCACTTTATCTGTTGTCTTTCTGTGTCCATCTGCCACTGACTTCCAGCTGCTGCACAAGGGTATAAGGAATAAGAGGGACAGCTGGTGTGGATGGCACAGTTGGAGCTATAAAAAATGGTGTGAAATGGAGAGTAAGTGAGTGGGCAAAGCTTTTTCTTCCTTATTATCTTTTCTAATTTTCAGGCTTTGTATCCGCTTTTCTGGTATGGTAGCTTGGTATTCCCGAGTGGCTTCTTTTTTAAATTCCCCCCATAGCTTCAACTTACTGGACCCACATCCTTTTTCTTTCATTCATTTAAGGACTAAGTTTCCTTATCTCTCAGTGGACTGTTCACTTCCAGGCATATTTGCTAAAGAGCATGCTAAACATTTACTGTGCATCAGAATTGAAGGAGTATAGCGTGCCCCAATGGAGTGCCTGATTTACTCCCATTTAAAAATTGCACATCTTAAAGAAAAGGCTCTGTCCTTGATCCATGCAGCTTTTCTTTAATTCACTTACACTGCAGGCACCATTCTTTGTCTCTTCTAATGTCCTTTTCTCTTAGTTAAATTTTGAGCTGGCGTGTATTCTCTTGTTTGCTCTTCACGTATGTCTTCCTGCTGGTTTTTTACTAACCACTCATTGGCTGAGACGAGACTGTGGGCAGACCCACTCATTGTCTGTGATGCACATTTGTGGCAGTGTGGAAAGACCGGGAAGACTTCCTAATGCTGTGATTAAAATAGGACGATATGGAAATGTCAAAAACAGAAATGACGGCCAACACGTTAACACATCCAGCCTTGAATTTTTTTTACACATACATAACAGCTAAAGAGTCACACTTTTTTTTTTGAGTGAGCTCAGTTCAAGCTGTCACTTTCTGCAAATTTGTTGGAAAACAAGAAAAATCACTGCTGTCACCGTGTGTCCTTGCTGTCAGTTGTGTCAGTCTGTGAGCGTCATGCCACTGTTGAGAACAAGTTCACAGTCATGTATCTCACAGTAGGTGCTTCGTTCTTCTTGTTTGGAGCCACTCTGTACTCATGTCTCTCAGTGTGCTCTTTCCTTTCTTCACTTCCACGCCATGTCACCCCACCCCCACTACCTCTACCTACCGCTGAGAATCACAATCAGCTCTTTGCTCTGTGTCTTACACTTTGCCACTGCTGCCCTTGTAAAGTATACTCCCTGATTCTTTGTGCAAACCACACTCCAGTTTATCTCCTCTCTGCTTTCTTCTCTTGCTATTTGTTACTTTTCCTGCTACTTTTCCTATCTGCAAAAAAAAAAAAAAAGAAAACAAATGTGATGTGTGATTAATCCATGTAGCTTCCCTATGGAACCACTCATGAAGTATTGCAGTTTTTTCACTTTCTGATATTTTATCCTACATATAGCAGATTTCAGAGTCTAATTTATTTGGTCACATTAGCTATTACATTAATCCTCTTCTGACCTGTAGTTAGATGTATCTACACTGGTTGGCTTGAAATAGTCATTTATATTTCACGCACTTGAGTTTTTAGTTCCCAATTAATGCTCTGAAAGCTCAGTAGAGGGGGTAGAAAACAGCAACAGCGATTGGCACACACCCAGCCAACTAACCATCTGTTTTAAAATGTTTCCTTTGGGTGATTGTTGCAGTCCACTGAGACCAGTCATAGAAATTCTTTATACCACCCGCCAGTACAACATCTTAAAAGAAAAACGTTTAAGCAGCTCTCCTAAGGCAAACAGAATGCTATAGCTGAAAACATAATTGCAGTGTTCGCACATGCTGTATAGCAGCTTGCATCCCAAATCAAGTCCCATATTGGGCTTCGATCACTGCCGTCTACCAAAATTTGGCTTATTGTCACTGCTACGTGGAATAACTGTGACACCACACTGAATCAATTGTTTGACAGCTCAGAAAGGCACTCTTTCTTTGACATGGTCTTAAGATCTTTCCAGACTTTCTTCAGTCACACCAAGAAAATATAGCAGTGTCAAGTCTATGGTTACTACCTGTAATCTCCTCGATAAGTACTTCCACACTTTTCCTCATGAATTATATCTATCACGGTTAAGCCTTGCAGCATTTTTAAAGATTAAGAGCAGAAATTATCAGATTACTACTCATTCACATTTTCTTACTACACTATTTTTCAGTACTAGGCTGTATGATGACCTGGAAAAAGTGACACTACTAGTGCATGTGAAATGCACATCTGTTAGCATTTGCTACTAAACTATTTGAATTCTGGTTCAAAGTCACTTGTATTAATAGCATCATCTGTGCATACACAGATCACATCTATTCACATATAGACTTGGCTTTAAATTTTTTTATCAGTCAGTCCCGGCATGCAGCACAGCTGTGTACTAGTTTTAAAGTGTCTTATTTAATCTAACCCAACATCGTATAGAGTACAATTCAAAAATTTGAGTCTTTTGATGGTGCTGTAACTCTGTAAGAAAATAGTGCAAGAACACAGTCTTACATATTTTTTGCTCACAATAAACAGGTAACTATATCTTGTTGCAAAACAGGTGTCATTGTGATGCATGTATAATCTCAAGAGATCTGTTGATTGTTCATTTAACGCACTCACTTCCTCTGCACATAGTGCGTTAATACTAAATACATTCATGCACTGTATCATTTTGATACTTTAATGTCTTGATTAAGTTAATTGTGCAAAGCAATTATAGTGGCTGGTTTATTATATTGATAAAAGTAGTCATATTTAAAAATTAGTGGCAGGATTAGGGATGGAAATCTGATGGACGACATAAAAATGTCACAGTGTCGCAATTGATATTGTGCCTCACACTTTGTTAATGTCTGTTTAAAAAAAAGAAAAACTGAGACAGAAATGTGATTTTATCTACCTTAAATTGTTTTACTGCTCCTCCACCCACAGGTGGAAACCACCACCTGCCACACTTTATCTCCTCCGCATCTTAAACTTGGAGTCGCCTGAGCTGTGAGCAGTGTGTATCCACGGTATATTGCCTCGTAAAAATTAGCCGTTGCATTTGCATATATACCTTTGCAAGGAAACTTTTTTCTCCACAGTAGGCTCTTCTATATTGTCTGACCTGCATGTTTTCCTGCCTCATCTTTCAGGTAGCTTTTATTGTCCCTGCATTTTTTATTTTCTTTTTTTTTTTGTCTCGAACCTCCTCCTACTGTTTGGAATAATAAACAGTTGTGTTGTTTTGCAGGTCGAGTTTAATTTTTAAAAAATAAATATTGAACTGATCGAATTTATGTAAAAGCACAAGAGCAGAAACTCTCAGCTAGTGTGCACCACTAGGTAGTAACTGATGACACACATGATTGAAATTGCTTTGCCTGGATGCATTCGGCAGGGTCTCATGTTTGATAAGGATAGCACTGCTTCAAGACATGGGTGCACATGCAGAAAGAGGTGGCCCTTCCAAAATGTGATTCCTGACGGCTTGAGTGGAAACCTTGACCATAGTGTTAGCAGACGCACACTTTTAACCTGACCTAAGATCTGGTGCTCCACCTCTGGCTTTGGGAACTGTTCTCTGATTTTTCAGGGTCATTTTCCTGAACCTGGGCATTTTGTATTATTACAGGGTTTGACAACCTTTTAATATTTTCATTGTTTGAAGTGAACAGTGCAAATTTCACAAAACACACCAAGAGACAGGCCGATTATTCCTTATCACGAGTACACATGACAATTTTAGAGCTGCATTGTGCTTTAATCTCAAAATTACCTTCTGGCAGCCTAATATTTTAGCAGCAACTGCTCTGCCCTTGTGAATTGTGTCATCAAATCTCCTTGAAATTAATTAAACATTTCTAAGTCGAAGAATTTGTCACAGTATTGCTCTTATTTATACCCACATATGACAGAACTTCACAGCTTCAAAGCATCCACCCACTCACCCTGTACAGTAGCTCGTCTCTTGTTGAATTGTTCTATCTCCAGCTGCTTTCACGTTGCTTCCTGCTCTGCGTCTCTTGGGTTACCGTCTCCTCCCACTCAAATATCCTCTTTAACTTTCAGTAGATGTTGAGTGGAGTGACCACTCCTGCTATTCAGAGTCGCCTTTAAATTGTTCTGAATCTTTTGTGGGCACTTCCCCTACCGTGTTTGTGTTCATCCACCCACTGACTTGTTTGGACAAGTTAACTCTTTGAGTGGGCTTCAATGCGAGTGCTTGTGAAATGCTTGTGTTTGCCTGCAACATTGTTGGGGTTGCTGTATTTGTCTACACTATTCCGCTCCCTGCGGCCTGCTTACAAATTATACATTACGAAGGAAACCTAATAAAACCATCTAGATTTGTATATGGGTTATTACGAAGGTAACTATCTCCTGTTTTTCATCGGCCTATTTTCGTGTTGTTTGATGCATCAAAAAACAATGTTTGACTGACGACTGGTGCGATTTGAAAAATGTTTAATTTGAGCACGTCTCCAGTGCTGCCTTTCATTGAATAACAGCATTAAATGCCTCAAAGTAATGATGTAAAATGTTTTCTCCTCTGCCTGTCAATATATTTTAGTCACTTCTTACAACAACCTGACTATATTTCGTGTCTTTTTTTTTCTTTCTTTTATTTGTAAAAAGCAGGCTTTGAGCAGTCTCAAATTTCCTCAAAATGTCCTACATTAATATAGCCCATGTAGCTGGCAT